CCCGCCCCCTGCTCTGCGCCCCGCACCCCGCCACTCGCTCAAGGTGAACCGGCGCGGCATTCCTGGCCCCCTCCGCGCGCCGCTCTCTCCTCGGATTCTCTCTCTCCTTCGCCTCTCGCTGCCCCTCTCCTCGACCCGCTCCTGCTTCCCTCCGCGCGAGTTTGCCTTTAAATGCATTCATTTCTATTTGTTCTATCGTATCTTGCCTAACACACGTCGGGCAAATTCAACACTAGTTCTTTAAAATGTGCACATTTATTTTTTTCTTTCATTCCCTTTCAATTTATTCTCTCTCTCTCTCTCTCTCTCTCTCTCTCTCTCTCTCACACACACACACACACACACACACACACACACACACACGTGAATGAAAACATATTTACTCTGAGCCAATCTACCGTACTCGTAATATTTTCCATTTTTACTTGGTGCGTTCATCGCCCTCTCCATTCAATCCCCCTGTGCAGCGGGGCGCCGCCCTCCCGACTTGCAGCTTCCTGGGCGGCCGCGGGCGAGAAGTGGCTCGCTTCCCGTTCCGGCCGCTGCTCCGCTCCGCCCCGCGCCGCGCCNNNGGCGGCGCGCCGCCCGCCGTCGCCACCTGTTCGCTCCCCTCCCCTCCCCCTGCTCGCCGTCCCGGTTCTTGCCCTGTCGCAGCACCGCCTTCGGGATAGCAACCCACAGCCCCCCTTCCCACCTCACCCCCACCCCGCCTCGCTCTGCCACGCCACTGTCCATCATCTCAGCCCTGTCCCATCTCACCTCATCTTCCACTTCTCCCTACCTCGTCCCGGTCCTCCCCAGCTCCACCCCGGTCAGGCACGCCTCTCCTCTACTCGTGTCTCAGCCCCGCGTCCGCCCCGCTTCCGCCCCGCCTCCATTCCGCTTCCGTTCCACTTCCGTTCCACTTCGCCCCGTCTTTGTGTGTCGCCTCGCCCCTGCCTCGCCTCCTTCCTGCCTTCGTCCCTTTTCGGGCCGCCTCTGCCACACCCCTCGCCCCGCCTTCACGCGGTCCCCGACTGCGCCCGCTCGTGCCTTCCCCGTCCTTTTCAGAGTATCGGTTTATATAATTATGTTCCTTGATGCGTTCTGCGTTGCTGGAAGTGTAATAGTATGTAGCATTCTGAGAAGACGTACAGCTTTTCCGGCAGTCTGACACCGCCTGTTGCCGGAGAGTACCGATTCAATAACTTCTTCTACCAATGCGATTGTAGCGTGCTAAGCAAAGCCAATCCGCCAATTATACCATTTATTGATTTAAATAATCTTTAATTTCGTATGTGCTTAGAAAATAAAAATATATGTTTTCTGTTCTTTGCATCCCACCAGGGATATTCCACACTAGCAGAACTGCGAAGAAGAAAATACGTTTCACTGCTCATGCGCTGAAATTGTATTTGACAGCTGTCCACCTTTCGTAACCATTGGTTGCTGTTGTTTCCTTCCCTCTCGCCGTTGAACGCGATGTCGCCGCGCGTTAGGTATCGGTGGCAGTTGACGCTATTCGAGCCCAACACTTTCCACTCCTAGGGCGCCAATTGCTTGGCCTCTCTTGACCGTTGCGAAGCTCCCAATTCCCCCTGCCTCGCCTCCACCAACTGGCGCACTCGATAGAGGAGTTCACAAGGGTTCCGTTCGGTCTCAGACCCAGGAAATCCACCGCAGCAGCAGCAGCAGCAGCAGTGTGTCGGCGGCGTGCGCGAGGTGGGCGCAGGGCGCGCGAGCGTTGGCGCTGCCGAGTTAGGCGGTGCGGAGCGATCAGGTGGCGGCCGCATTCCTGGACGAGCGCTCCCCTCCCTCTCTTATCCCCTCCTCTCCCCTCCTCTCGTCTCCGCTCAGCGCCGCCCGCGGAATACCGCGCCGCTGGTCAAGGCCCGCTGCGGCACGGCGCGGCGCGGCGCGGGCGCGGGCCCCGAGGACGTCGGCCCCGCGGTGCGTCTGGCGGCGCGGAGCACCTGCGGCAGCGCGCGCTCACGAGGCGCCGTGGAGGGGCACTGCGACCGACAGCGCTTTAGAGCTTAATGCGGTCGTGGAAAGGAGAAGCGAATATTCCCCCTTACTGTGCTATTCGCAATCAAGTCAAGGTTGCTCCTCAGCACTTCCTTAACTACACCTACACTATAAAAGACCACAAGCTTTCTTGCGCGGGTGCACACACGAACAACTCTTACACGATGCGTTGTTTTCCGTATTTTAGGCTTGATTCGACTAGCACAAGCGGGCCACGGACCGCGTCCCATTTTCCCTTCCTCTTCCTTGACCTCTCCCCTTACACACATGCGCACTACAGTATGACACATGTCGGGATTCCAGTTGGGAACTTGTGCTGGTCCTGGTTGGGGCGGTTGGAGATAATCTCCACCTCTCGTGATTACGAAAACATGATTACACTTGCGAATTACTACATCTGTTGAAGCACGCGGAAACTCAAAATAATCGCATCCTCGATTCCGGAGTAGGCTTGATGTTTCAGTTGATATCCTGAAGAAATTTCAACTTTATTCCATGCAAGAAAGGCTATTGCTCCACCTATTTCCTCCAAGCTATTGAACCCCACACAGTAATCGCACATAAGTTGCTGTACTCCAACTACCACGATTTTAAGAAAATTAAGTGAGTAAATTTGTGAATGAACTGTAATCCCCAACTGCTGTTTAGCTTGTGGTAGAGTCAGGGCTGACAATTTGCGAAGTCCTCAAGCAGTTGGTTTGGGCTAATGCGGGTTAATGGAGGGTTAAATGTGCCAGGTCGGGGTACTGGAAACCACCTATGAGGAAAATCGTCCTTATTAGATTTCCAGTTCCTCGAAAACTCATTATTCCGAGTGTCGAAGAAGCACGTGAAATTTAGATCGTTTCCTCCGATTGATCCTTGGAACGGCTGCAGTGCTGGTATCTAACGGTGGAGCGAGGAACTTGCGCGGCGCGGTGGGTGGCGGCGAGGGGCGGCGTGAAGCGCAGCGGCATCCGATGCGCCAGGTGCATCGCCGCGCCGCCGCTCGCGCGCTGACTGACGAAGGCCAGCGCTCCGGGCGCTTGCGGCGACGCTGTGAGGCGGAGGGGGGAGGGGGAGGCGAGCAGAGGGGAGACGCAGATAGAGGAGGTGATCGCGAAGGTGGAGAAGTCGGCAGTGGAAACGTAGACGCGATGGCGGAGGCAAAGACAGAAGCAGTGGAGGCCGTGGCAGGCACGAAGGCGGTGACGGCGTTAGGGGTGGGTGGGTGGACGTTGGTGGTCCCTGTGCGGATCGGATTGCTGCGGCAACGAGGGGGCCAATGCCTTCTTCACTTGGGCGCAGGCGGCACTGGGTGGGCGGGATTTCTTTAGGGGATGTGCTCCCAGGGTGGCTCTTCTTCTGGTTTCATGACCGTGAATCAAACCTGGTGACTACGGCTGGGACGTTCGAATCCTGCTGCCTTGTCACCCTGGCATCCTAGAGGAGATTACATACATCAACATTTTGTTATTTGCAATACTTTTCTCGTTATGATCTTATACTTAAGAGTGGCCGCTTTGTAGCAATCGTGGAAATCCGGAGAAAATGAGAGAATTCCATTACTCTGGGAACGTCTGGAAAAGCAGGAAATTTTGGATGAACGGTTAGAAGTCACGGAAAATTTGGAGATAGTGGTAAACCATCTCACTATTTTTTTTTTAATTTAGTACCGTATTTTTTTTACTTAAATTGCATAACTACATTATTCCGAAAAAAAAATTGCACAGCATTATTCTTTGCTCAGTTTCTATTTGTTGAGTTTTCTTTAATTTGTACGTAATCGCGGCGAAATCAAAGGCCTGGCAAATTCGGTTTTATTATTTTCTTTAAATAGTGTTACTTTACGAATCTGATGAATACAAAAATTAAACTACCCTAGGAAACCGGGAAAAGTCGGGGAAATTTGTTTCAGTAAAGGAGTGGCCACACTGAACCTCGACGTTTTCTCGCCAACATGATTTCTTGAATCGAGTGATGACCGCGGTGCATTGTTGGTTGCCTCTGGGGCCCCCGCGCCCAGATCCGTCGTGAACCGCTTCCGCTGCAGTGCGCGTGCGCGTGCTAAACGAGCGGCGCGTGCGGCAGCAATGACTTCCCTCGCAGGTGCGCCGGGGGCGCGACCGCTCGGGCAGTCGCTTGCTCGTAAATTACCCGCGCGGGGGCGGTGCTCGTAAGTGAATACGACGCCACTTTATGTAATGATGGTCGAGGCTAACTTGCACAGGCGGAACAAACGTAGAGGGAACTTAAGTACGCTGGAACCGTGTTGTAGCCAATGGCAGAGTTTGGAGGATCCTTGGCTTGCCCGAGCTCATGTGTAGAAATCGTAAAAGTACGCTTTTTCGTAGAAGATCTGCGAGTTTTTGTTCTGTAGCAGGATTGACATTGACTATGCTTTCTCGTTCTTATGACGTGAGACGTAAAATAGTACATCGTTAAGAAAATTTGCCACGGAAAAGACGTTAAAAATGTGTGTTCTTTGTGCGATAATTTATTCGTGATAGGTGCTAGTTTGTAAGTGAAGGGTAAGAATATATTTTAGTAAATGTTTCTTTTATTTATTCTCTCTGCAAATGAGTGGAAGATTGCTTCGTAAAAAACAGTAAACTACTGTGTAAAAAAATTATAATTCTTCTACATTCACTATGAATAAACATAACTTTTTAGGTCCATACGTGGGTAATAATAATATTGTAATTTGTCACAGCTATATTTTGCCGTAATATTTCAGAGAGTGCAAAGTACATGCAGTTGTGTTTATATTCTTTAGTTGATGTGCATTTTTACGCAGTAAAAGCTATTTGCTAAGAAATTTCTATTCCGATTAGATAATTATTTTTAATTATTGTACGATAGCACGCTGCTGCGCGTAGGGCCCGAACGAGGTCAGTGTGACGAACGCGCGCTGGCCGTGGACAACGAGGAATCGAGGCAATAGCCGGCTCGCAGCAGGGCCTTTGGGCGCGAGCGCGTTTAGCCCCAACGCGAGTGCGATTAGCTCGCCGGCCGTCGCAATCAGCGCCCAAACAGCTCCGCAAGCGATATTGACTAACAGAGGAAGACGGATCGATGGCGCCCGGTGTCTGCTCCGCGGCGGCGGCGGCCGAAGCAATGGGGGCGACGCTGGTGGGAGAGGAGGCTGCCGTGGCGGCGATGGCAGAAGCGGAAGGCGGGCGGGGTGGGAGGATTAGGGTGCGGAGTTGGAGTGAGATGGGAGAAGGCCGCCGTGGCGGAGGCGACGGAGATGGAGTGTTGATGGCGGAGGCGAAGCAGACGGAGGTAGAGGAAGAGACGGCAAACCGTCAAGAGGCGGTGAGTGAGGAGGCGGAAGGAAGCGGCAACCGAGGTGGCAGTGGTGAGCAGTGCGGCGGGGGGTCGTAGGCGATGGAGACGAAGCTGGCTGCGGGGAGGCGGAAGCCCGCTAAAGCCCTGTCCGTCTGTTGCCTTCATTAAAATGTAAATACAGCGCCCGCCAATTTGCAAGTGGCGCCTGGCGCCCTCGGAGGACGTGGCGGGCCGCGCGCGGGGCCGGCGCAGACGCCGGCAGACCCCTCGCCCGGCGCCCGGCGCGGCTGGCGTGCACACACCGCCGCGGGGTGGGGAGTCGGAGACAGGTGTCTTGCTCTGCAGCTGAGCACACTCAGTACTTGTGGATCTTGATTAGGAGAGGATTTTCAAAGTTTAATTGTTTAACTAATAGGTTTTTGGACCCTTCTTTAAAAATTCGTTTCAATGGTTATTCGTAGATTCTCTACGGTTTATATCCCCCCAGTATTATGAGCTACTATCCATGACTGTACTCAAAATAATTATTTCTGGTACTGAAGTTTGGTTGTGAAGCTTCTGATAAAGTTACCTGGCATTGTTCCTGATATGAGTATTCTTCACTAACAACAAAACAAACTTTGGATTCATGTCATTGCCTGCTAATGGTGATTGAGCTGAGTGGCGACAGTTTCTGCAGAGTTTGTTTTGTCGGAAGCTGTGTGGTCCGGCCGATGCTAAGCGTGTTCGCTTGGGCGGGGCGGGGCGGCTGCTGTGCCGTTGCGCGGATTTTACGACGGACGTTTTCGCGCTCGTAAAGCAATTGGCGCCCGGAATTCGGCGCCCCCCCCCCTTCCTGCACGTCACGATGCGCGGACGCGGCTCTTTCCTTTTCGCTCTGTTTCCTGGCCGCGTCTCGCGTCCGGCCCCGTCGCTCCACTTCGGGAGCCACTTTACGACACGTAGCGGGGGGTTTCCTTCCTCGCGGCTCTTTTTCCTCCTCGGAGGGGTTGGAGCAGGCTGAACACCCTCCAGCTTTCTCGCCACTTGGCTTGCAGGGAGCCGGGCAATTAATTGCATGCAGACGCGTGCGCTGCAGTAAAGCTCCGAATAAGCCCGCGTCGTGTTGGCCGATTCGTCACGCACTACGCCGCGGAGTCGGCCCTTACGAGTCGGGCTACCCAAAGCAGAAATGTGCTTCTAACCTTTAAATTCCGACGAACTGTCGCTACAGGTACTTCATAACACTTACGTAACGTATTACTATATATCTTGCAAACAATTATGACAAATATAAGGATGATAAGTATTGAAGCTGATAAAGCACATTGGTGAAACAATGAAAGTGTAACTGTGCTGTGTTATAAATTTAGCTAGGACTGTAAATTATGAGCCCAACTGCACGTTAGCCTGTTCTCTGGTAAGCAGCGTGCTCACTACTTGTACGTACGCGTGTTCTGTGCTGTAACATTCATTCATCAATGTACTCCTTATGTTCTTAGGTACGGGGTTAATTCCGTGGGTACGGTGTGATGTGCATTTTCACATTGGTTTGTCGTGCGTTCTAACTTCATGCGTTTCCGTTCCAACTGTGTTGAGTAATTTCTGTCTTGCAGATATATCAGTTTCACCGCTGTCGTGTGTGGCTATTTTGGGAGCCTCGTCTTCGTAACCGGATTCCTTTCCGTGTTGCCTTGCAGTTCGCAGGAACCTCTTTAGAAATGTTGAAGACCAGGAAAATTGGGATTTTCCTTCCGCAAATG